AGATGGCTAAGCAAACTTCTTCCTACTTTAGGCTCATCAGACAGACCTAAGGCAGAAGAAATGTGGGCATGTGCCACAGCCTGTCTTGGGCTGGCTGTGCAGCAGGTGTATAGGGCAGTTTTATCTGGGGAGAGCAGCACCTGATTGAAAAGCACTGAGATAAGCTGAGGTGGAAATCAGCTGTTTCTCAAAAGCTGCAATTGCTAATCACACGTATTCTATTAAAATATTTGTAACAAAAAAATGTATAGTATTGTTCAAGCGGTTTGCCTTTCTGTGATATAACCATTGCAGAATTTTTTGTGCAAGAGAATAAATATCATCTTCTAATCTTGACATCACTATTAAAACTGTCTTTATTTTGGTTGCTTTTACCACAGGAACTCTTGATGAAAGCAGGAATTCATAGGATACTCTCCAGTGTTTTATAGTCAATAACTGTTCCTTTAGGCCAGGGGTGGGCAAGATACGGCCCACCAGGCCACTCTATCCAGCCCACAGGGCCCCTAAAAAAATTTAGAAAATTAATATTCAGCTGCCTGTTATGCGGCCCTCAATGGCTTGCCAAAACTCAGTAAATGGCCCTCCACCCGAAATGATTGCCCATCCCTGCTTTAGGCCCTGAATATAAGTAGGTAATGTTATTCCAAGTAAGTAATGTTATTGCAATATTAAAAGAAAATTCCAGGAAAGAAAAAATGGTTAAATAATATTCAACAGCCCCAACCTAACATTCTTAGCAGCAACACAGTCTTTGCTCAGGCAAACTTACCACTATCTTCAGAAGAATAGCAAAAGATGAAGCCTGCAAAGAGAACTAAGTTAGCACAACTTGGGAACTGGAGTAACAGAAATTACATGAAATTCTGCTATAAACTAGGATCTCATCAACTGGAAATGTCTAAGGGTGAAGGAAGACCTCAGTGTATTGGGATCTTCACGTGCTGACTATGCAGCTGATCTGTAATAATGAAAGAGGTGGATACAACCCTGTGATGACAACCAAGGCGATCCCAACAGAGATATGGAAGTATTAGTTTATTGCAGAAGGTCTGAGGGAGACCTCATCTGAAGTGCTGTATAGGATTCTAGATCCCCCACGTTCAAGAATCAAATTTGTACTAGGACAGGTGCAGAGAAGGGCTACTAGGATAATCGGGAACAGAGAGCCCCTCATTTGAGGAGACTAAAAGACATTGTGGCTTGTTCACTCTCAGAAAACAAACTGAGATAGGGGGTATGGTATGGTCTTTAAATGTGAGTATACACACAGGGAGGTTGAAGAGTGGCATTTATGCTCAAGATAATGTTGGCGCAAGGCCAGACTGATATAAACCGGTCACAAGTAAATTTGGCCTGAAAAACACAAAACAGCTCCTAATTGTTAAGAATTGTGGGGGCTACAAAGATATTTTTAAGATAGGTCTTAGCTAGTGCATGATATGATGCCAATAAAGCAGGGAATTAGACTCAGTGACACAGGGTGCCTTCTAGTCCTATGTTCCTAAGGGGATTTAGCAACCTTGTTGTAGTGCCTTGCAGACTCTAATGTGCAGGCTGTAGAGCTCTCATAATTCACTGGAAACCTAATATGGGCAGTAAGTCATCTTCTTTCTTGAATGGATATCAGGTTTTTCAGCCCATAGTACTGAAACGTCTACTTCCCTGCATTTAGAAAGATTGTAGGTCAGGGACCTGCTATACCCCTGCTGCCTGCACCTTTATGGACAAGAGTCATGGGATAGAAGCACACTTAATAAGCCCTATAGAGACTGAAGAGGCTCTTCAAGTTTAAAGTAGTATTTGGCTGTCAAGTATCTGCTAGCACAGTGGTTTTCAAACTGTCGTCCTGGGGGTTCACAGATTATGTCTAAAGGGTCCATGAACAACAACTACAATCAATCAAAAGTACGTGAATACCCACATTTACAATTCAAAGTACCTCCATTTGAGATTTCCAAAGGGGTCCATGCCGCCATTAGAAATTTTTTAGGGGTCCACAAACAAAACAAAAAAAAAGGTTGAAAACCACTGTGCTGGCAAAAGCTAATGAGCATTTTTAAACTATCTGCTTCTGTTAGTCATCTGCTTCTGTCACTACCTTCTTTCCCTTTTGCGTTACAGACTATAACAGAGTCTCCTGGCAGCCTGCTGCACTCCTTAGAGTTCTCCAGTTCCTCAGTGAAGCCAGTAGGAGTGTTGATGGCCTAAATGTGTTACACTGGAAAATAGGGGCAATGGCCTATCTACATTGTGGGACATGAAGACCTGGGGAAGAGGCCAAGGCTCACGAGCAGGGATCTGGGTTTTCTGTTTGCCATGGAAAAACACAGGAAAATGCAGATTTTTCTCCTTTAAAGGAGGAAAAGCTGGGAAACCACGGGTTTCCCCTTGCAGGCTAGAAGAGTTCCAGCCTGCAAGGGGCTGCTTGGGGCTGAGGGGCATGCATGTGGCAACCAGGTAGTGGTGGAAAGCAACACCCACAGCTCCCTCCATGTAAGTCTCTGAGGGTGGGAGGTGTACAGGTGATGTGTTGAGGGTGCAGGGGCCACATGCCACCCCAAGATTTCTGTGCCCACATTGGGGCATGAGGCTGCAGCTTGGCTGGGCCAGCTCCAGGCAGGAGTTGCCTCTGGCCCAAGGTGAGGTGCCCCCTACCCAGCTGGCAGCAGTAGGGGGCACAACCTCATGCTGCCACCACTACCGTCATGGCCACCAAGGTGATGCACCTCCTACCCACCTGGCAGCAGCAGGAAGCACAACTCCATGACACTGCTTCCATGCCTCACGTTGGCAGCCATGGCAGCATAGCACCCCTTCCTTCGCCAGCTCCCACCTGCTAAGCCACAGAGGCAGTGTCTGGCCAAGCTGCAGCCCTGTGCCCTGTGCTCCACTGTGGGTGCAGAAATCTGGGGGAGCATGTACCTTCCCCACCCCCACCAATGTATCGCCTGTGCTCATACCCCCTCTTCCCCATACAGCCGTCCCCTTCCTCATACACTGGGGTGCTGGGGCCAGGGGGCAGTGGTTCAGGAGTGAGGGGCACCAGCAGGGTTTGGGGGGTGGAGGGTACTGGCAGGGTCAGGGGCTGCAGGTTTGGAATGAGGGGCACCAGCAGGGATGGGGGTTGGGGGAGCTGTGGGTTAGGAATAAGGGGTAACAGCATGAGCAGGGGCAGAGCACTGGCATATCAGGGCTGCTCAGCATCATAAATCAGCGAGGGGGGGGGGGACAGCCGCAGCTGGACCTGCATCCAGGTTAGCAAAGGGAGCAGGGAGAACTCTGATTTTCTATGATTAAAAAAAAACCATAATCAAACACTAAAATATATAGGCATTTAGAATTTCCTATAATGATTGAGGCACTGGTAGGCTTCCAAATTGCTTTAAAACTGTAAATTATAGCAATAAAATATTGTGTTCAACTGATGCCTATACATATACTGTAGTGGTGTTTCATTTCAATTGTGGAAAAATGCAGGTTTGGGGTTTTTTAATCAGCAAAATTTTGATTTGCTTTTTTTAATTGGAGAATTTTGCATTTTTAAACAGAGGAAACCAGGACCCCTGCTCATAAGTGTACTGTCAGGTTCAGGGTATGCCCCCAGGCATGAGTTCTCAATCCCTTCAGTGCGAGAACGTGACACCATTGGGGTGCAGAAAAGTCCAATGAGTCCAGAGTGCCTAAGGCCATGTCTATATAGTAAACTTACCATAGCCAGCAGCAACTCTCTCAAACATGCAACGCTACTCCATGCAGGCTGCCTCTTAACTGGCACCAGGAAAGCTGGGCTCACAAATAAGTTTCTTGGGGTAATTAGCACTGCTGAGTGACAGTTCTAATATGTTCTGTGGTACTGCATGGATGCAGCTGTACTGTTTCCAGTGAAGGAGGCAGCATGCACAGAGTATCCTGGAGGGCACCTCTCTGACAGATGAAGTACGTTTGCTATGTAGGTGTAGCTTAGTTGGCCTAAAGTCCCACATCCTGTTTTGCACCCACTCTTTGTTTATGTTGGGTTGTACTGCACTGGTGTGCCACCTGTTCTATTCATTTCACTGCTTAACAAGAGTAAGTATGCCAGAATTGGGCAATGAGGAGCCAATCTTGGGTTGCACAGTCAGAAAAGAACCAACTATAAGCATGTGATTCAGGGAGACTGAATCACTGAAGAGTTCATGATAGACAAGTGAGATTCTCTGCAAGTTTTGCACCCTTTGCTGCTGCTATTAGTTCAGCACCATCAAAGTACCTGCTGATGTACAGAGAATACAGTACACGAGAATAGATACAGAGAAGCAGAAGGAGCAATTGCCCCAAGCTACTCCATGTTCAAGGGGGCTAAAAAAAACATGATTTCCCACTAGGAATACTTGCAGCAGAGGGGCACATGTGCATGTAGCAAGAGCACCTCATGATTTTCCCAAAAAAACCCGTATCTTTACAATTGACAGTGCATTCTCTGCTCCAAGTTGCTTATAATCTAAGATAGAACTAAACAACTGGCAGCCCATGGGCTGCTTGCAGCCTGAGAGGGATAATGCGTGGCCCTGGGGCCCCCACCCAGCTGCTACTCCCTGCTATCACTCCAGCTGCTGGGGTCTTTAGGCTCCCCACCAGAGTCCCTAAGCTTCTAATCAAGTCTTAAAAAATGAGACACAAGTTATAGGTGACAAAGTGTGGCTCTAGAAACTGTGTGAGACCAGATCTGGAAGCTCAATCCCATGACAATTTAAGATGGAATCCAGAAGAGGACGTGTGCCAGGATCTACGGGAATGGGCAGGTTAATTATGTTTAATAATCTGTAAATTTCATATAAAGGGATGCTCCCGTTAGTACTTCTTTCCTTTGATATTCTTTTGCCTCATGTGGCCCTAATGATGTACAAACTGAGATTTACTTCTGTCCTGAACAGGTTCTGCAGGCACTAAACTTGTAAAGTTACTTCACACTTGATTTCATGAACCTTTCTTTGTTTCATTTCTCCACGTTGTATCAGGGAGGGGGTGGAGTTATATAAACAGAATCAGCAGCACACCAGGTTTCCTCAGCAGAAGTTTCCTCAGCTCAAATGTATTAATCTGGTAAGACTTTCCTACATTATTTTTTGTTATATCATTTAAACCTGAGTTGGTATCTGTGGTATTTGTATGGTGAAAGAGAATATTAGTTAGTTTGTATTAATTACATATACTTAGCCTGGCATCTGAACTACAAATACTATTAACTGTCTCCTCTCTCTCTTTCTCTCTAGACCAAAATAAAAAGAAATAAAACTCTGTATCCTGAATTCTCCACTAAAAGCATACAATTAAAAGGAATCAATGCAGTCATTTGACTTCTATTTAAGGGGATATGCATTGGAGCCACAATTCATGATTGTTAATGCCACATAAGGTAGATGATGCTGTAGCTAGCTCAGTTTCATTTCCAGCTGCAGTGACTTAGCTCCAGGAAATTAAAGGAACTGCCCATTCCCGTTATGGGACTGCCCACAGTCCCATAATACACAAGAAAGAGAAACTGTTCTTGTAGTATTCCCAGCAATAGGGATCACATGCATCCACTGCAGAAACAATAGGAGCCGGATCCTGAGTCGGGACCCGGGCACATATCAGCAGGTTCCCTCCAACACAGCACTTCTACTTCATTTTTTTTCAAGGACCAGGATGCCTCTGAAATCCAGAAGTGTCCCAGCCAATCCGGGACATATAGTCACCCTAAATTGAACCAGATTGTAGCTGAATTCAGAATCTGAACTAAGCACACTCAAGCAAGAGGAGGGATTTAAAGCAGCATGAGCTCTGAGAGTTTCAGAAATAAGTACAATGTAAGTAGATACCCACAACCATGGCTCCTTTGATGCCTCCTCTGACCTGTAAAATAACAAGTTTGTGGTAGAATTGGAGCAATGTAGCCATGGTGGTCCAGGAAAATGCAAGAGGAAAGGATTTTTGCACATGATATCTTTTACTTAATTGACTGTATTTGGAAGGGATAGAGTTAGGCCAGGGGTCAGATCTAGCCCACCAAGCCCTTTCATCCGGGGTCCCCTCCCCGCAACAAATTGTGCCCCGCCCAGCCCTTCTGCCCATGAGGGACGGATCGAGGTTCCCACATGTACACGCAACCCCAAACATACCCTACTGCCTCATTCCCATCCTTGTGGGCATAGGGGCCTGGCCTAGCAAGCGTGCAGCTTCCGCGTGGGGCTGCTGCTGCTGCAGCCCCTGGGGACTTGCTCCACTTCCCCAGTCTCCTTCTGGCTCTGGGCAGCAGGTAGGTAAGCAGCGGAGGTGGGGCTGCAGCTGGAAGGGTCTCCGGAGCATGGGGTTGGGGCTGGCAGCAGCACGGTGCCAGAGCTCGGGGGAGTGGCAACAGTGCAGAGCTGGGGTGGGCAGCATGTGGGTGTCAGGAAGGATGGAGGAGATGTTGGGACCCCCCCTGCTCTGCCATGGCGTGCAGCCCCAGCAGGTGGTGGCAGCACCAGCAGCATCAGGCAGGGCACTCAGGGCGCAGCTGCCAGAAGGCATGGCTCTAGCCAGCGCAGCATGTTGGGGCAAGGGGCGCAGTCTCTCCCAGACTGTCTGTATCACTGGTGCTCCCCACCATTCACATACAGCCCACGCACTTGCCCAGCACAGCAATGGGCTCCAGCCCTTGGGGCTTCTCTCTGGTGCTACACAGCCTGGGCAGGGAAGACACCTGGCTCCAGCACCTGGGGCTTCCCTCCCTGCTGTGCTGAGCGCCCTGCCAGATGCTGCACCATGGGGAGAATATGCGGGGGTCTCCACACCCCCCAACCTCCCTCACACCCTTCCCCCACAACCTCCCATGAATACACAACCCCCCCACATTCTACCACACACACACACCACGTATCTCACAGTCTTCACCACACACCCCCCACCCACCCCTGCCCTAACACTATCCCTTCCAAATACATAGGAGTTATGGTTGTGGGTATCTCTGGTCCCAAGACGGTGACAAGTGGATGGGGCACCTATCAAGCGGTGGGACTACCCATGCGGCTCTCATTAGCCTGCCAAAACTCACTAAGTGTTCCTCTGGCCAAAATAATTGCTTGCCCCTGAGTTAGGGTAACCATATTTCCTAGGTTTTGGAAGCTGTCCCAGCATCCCAGCCCTAAATAGTAAATATACCCTAAATCAGGAGCCAGGCACATGTGGGTTTGTTCCCACCAGTGTGGGACTCTTTCTTCAATTTTCTCCAGCGAGCCCAGCCAGTGGACAGTTTCCTGGCCCAGACTCTGCTAGGCTGCAAGCAGAGTTACTTGCACAGTAAAGTGCGGGCTGGAGGAAACACAGGGTGGTTGCCTGGCCCACTCCTGGGAACTGCGGGGTCAGGGGTTGTGGAGAAGAAGGGGTGTCCTGCCTGGTCTCACTCCTGGGAGCTTCTGGGTTGGAGATATACATGTGTGTGCATGCGTGCACACATGAATGCATGTGTGTCCTGCCCTGGCCCTGCTCTTGGGAGCTGCAGGGGGTTGGGGATGGTGCATGCACATGAACTATGCTGTCATGCCCAGCCCTGCCCTCTGGTAGCCCCATCCCAGATTTCCCTCACATTATTATGGTTACCCTAGATACAGTCAAGCTTTCAAATATAAAGTATCCTTTCTTACCCCTGTCTCTCACAAAAGTACTCGCCTCACATTAAAGACTGTTAAGTGTCAGTAATTCCCCTATGAGAGAATATGCAAAAGCCAAAATGTAGATAATCTGTAGTTGTACGCGATTCACTGCAGAGGATTCTCTAGTAGGAGTTATAAGTTATATTATTATAAGAATTGTCTCACTGAAATAAATCATTTTTCTAGTTTCCTCTAAATACTACTATTTCTTCTAGCGGTCTGAAGACATGGGGCAAAACATGATGGACAGCTCCCTAGGGTACCTTATCCCTCTGTGGATCCTTTAGTTCATGCTGCTCTCCAGGGAACTCTTCTCCCCAAAACCAGAGTGCCTCTCTAGCCCTGGAGCCAAACCTTTATACCTATTAACTCTACCCCCTTCTGATCACCAGGTCCTTGTTTCTAGGAGCCAGGTGCAGGGGTTCCTATTGAGCAATCTACAGGCTTGCCTTTCCACAGGCCTCCTCCCTACCAGTAGACTCACAGTCCTGTGACCAGCCTCTCCCAGTCAAGTACCTTTGCACTGCCTTGCAGTCAAGCCAGCCTGTCTTCAAGCTGCCCTCCACACTGTCTTGCAGCCCCTTCAATACTTGGATCTACACTCAGGAACAGGGGTTACTTACTGGCTCAGTTATTAGCAGTCTGCTCAGAACTGCTGCTGCCACTATTTAACTGCTGTCTGGAGCTCAGCCCTTGTAGCTGATCTCATTCACCAGCTTGCTCCAGGTAAGTGGCCTGCAGCTTTGGAGCTGCTACTCCTTTCTCCCTTTCAGCTGCCCAGTTCTCACTGGTGGTTTTCAGTCAGCTGTCTTCCTCTCTTAAAGCAACAAGGGTTAGGGGCCACTGTTACATCACATCATTTCCTTGTTTACCATTCATTACCTGTAGAAACTGGAATGCCTAATGGCTTTCACTTCTTAGAGAGCATGAAGGTAGATTTAAAACATGTTTATGTAACAAAAATACATAAGTGGGCTTACAAAAACAACTGTTTAGCTGGAACCAACTGAATACGCATTTATGCTGCTTCTGTTCTTTTAGTCCAGTAAGGTTGGAGATACAAGATAAGATCTTCAGCTGATATAAATTAGAGTTTTGGCTTCAATGGAGGCACAGTAATAAATACTGACTGGGGATCTTTCCTAGTAATATCCTGGCAGAATGTGTGAACCAAATCAGGAGTGCTCTTTTTGATTAAAGAAATGCCACCATATTTTTCCACGTGGACTATTCATTTGGTTTTTTTCATGCTAGGAAAACAAGCCAAACATCCACGACAGCATGACAGGTGGGAGGAAGAAGAAAGGAAGAACTTCCCCCCTAATGGTGATATATCTTTGGATGTTGATTTAGCTTTGTAATTACTATATAGTGGCAAATACATATCAGAATTATGCAAATCATACTATAAAAACTTCCAAATACTGTATGTGCCTCTCCTGAGAGTGCTAACAAAGGTTCCAGTTAGTGCCATTTCCAAAGGTGACTTTCCTGATGTGGAAACCAGAGAGGAACTAGACTGGGGTGGGCAAAATATGGCCCACGAGGCCCCTAAACAAATTTTGAAAATTAAAATTTATCTGTCCTTGGTTCCTGTCAAAAATGACAGGAACCAGGGGCAGTAGGACCCAGGGCAATCTTCAGCAGGCTCCTGCAACAACAGGGCCTACCTGGAACTGCCCCCCAGCCGGAAGCCCCACCAGGGGCTTCTGACCTGGGACCAAGTGGCTTCACCGGTGCGGGAAGCTCAGGTAAGAAGGGCGGGGGATGGGTCGACAGGGAAGGAGCTGGTGCTGAGTGTGGGGAAAAGTGGCCCCTTGCCCGCCCCATGGCCAGAGCTCCCTGCTGCAACCACTCACAGCCCATGTGGGGCTGTCCTGAGCAGGCACAGGCAGCCCTGCATGGGCTGCGATCGGACACAGCAGGGAGTGCCAGCCACGGGGCGGGCAAGGGGCCGCTTTTCCCCATGCTCAGCACCAGCTCCTTCCCTGCCAGTGAGCTGGGGATCAGGACTGTGCACTGCCCCCTGCTGGTACCACAGGGCTGGGGGGAGCACTGGGTGTGAGCAGGTGTGGGAGCAGGGCCCACACCAGTGTCCCAGGGCCAGGACCAGCAGGGCCTAGAGCAGGACAGTAGGGGTACAGGGTCCCAGGCGGCAGGGGCTCTATGGAGCCAGGACAGCTGCCCCTGCTCCCTGTTGGAGCAGCCCAACCCAGCTCCACAGACTCCTGCCAGCCTTCGCTCTGCTCTGGGCCCCACTGGTGTTGGCCCTGATACATTGGTCCCAAAACATTGGGACATTGGTTCCAAGATGGTGACCAAGGTGCAGGGCACCTGTCAATGGGTGGGGATACCCATGTGGCCCTCGACAGCTTGCCAAAACTGGGTAAGCGGCCCTCCACCCAAAATTATTGCCCACCCCTAAACTAGACAATGATTCCAGCTCACTGCACTTGAGCAGCTGGCTAATAGATTAATTGTGGGTGCCGCTAATGACTGCCTAACATTTTAATAACTCCTCAGGTTTATTTACCTCTGCAAGTTATTGTGCTCAGAGGTGTGCTTGTCCATTGTTCCTAAGAATCTGAGCTTTCCAGCATGCTTTTAATGTCAATAGATGAGTATGTTTTAAACTAAATTCATGGGAACAGAGCGGCACATTCTAATGAAAAAGGACCCTTGTGCAAAAGGCTCTACCAGGTTTCCTCTCTTATGCTACTAGGGGCTGAGGGCAAGAGGGGGGGGGGAAGAAGTCCCACTGCAGCACCTCTACAAATCTTAGCAGGTGACAATGACATGAGAAGTTTAACCTAGTGAGCTATGCATATTTTGTTCTTCACTGAGTGTATGGAATACAGTTTCTGGACTCTGGGGTAAATGTGAAGTGACTGCCAAAATAGTTGATTCTCTTCTCACTACGGAGCAATGGGTTGATGCAAAGAAACTGCTGGTATAATGCTTTGTCTAATTTCACTGAGACGATGTACATGCTTGAACTCAGAGGACAAGGCCCTGCTTTCATGCTAGAAGTAGTTTCTTGTCCTCCTTTTTTAATTTTATCAGAAAGCAGAAATTTTCTTGGGCAGCGAATATGAGGAGAAGGTCCGTCCTTGCATTGATCTCATCGACTCTTTGAGAGCCCTTGGAGTAGAAAAGGACCTTGTTTTGCCAGCAATTGCCATGATAAGAGATCAGAGCTCTGGAAAAAGCTCAGTCCTAGAAGCACTGTCTGGTGTCACTCTTCCTAAAGGCAGTGGTAAGAATTTACCTTGTGGTTTTTCATTTCTGAAGCATCCAGCATTTGCCAGGGTATAGTGTCCTAAAAAGAAACTGAAGGACTGCTTTGAAAGAGACAGGAAGCCTCTGTGACCTGGTAGGTTGAGCATGGGCTGGGGAGCAGGAGAGATGCAAAAGCTCTGCAAAGGACTTTTCACATGATTGTTGAAGTTAACGTCATTCTCCTGGTGTGTGGGGGCTGCAAGGACACCCTGGAGTCTGATTCTAGCCAGGTGGGTTGGCATGGAGCCCTGTGCCACCTCTGTCCAGCCATGATTGGGCTCTAGGGCCTTGAATTGCCTCTGATTGGCCACTGCACACCAAGATCAGACCTCGGGGACCCACTCTACTCCTCCCTGGGCTCCAGCCAGGTGGCAGTGGTATGGGGCCCTGGGGTCCGATTCCTGGCCCACAGACTGCCCTCACACCAGTCATTTGGTCCATGGGGCCAGAACTGTGAGCACCACTGAACTAGACTATTTCTTGAAGTTCCTTCTAGCTCTATCTTCTGCAATGCTGTGGCATACTTTTAATCTGGTAACTTTCCATGGTCCTGGGTGTACAATGTGTCAGTGAGAGGTGCTTCAGATGAGTCAGAGTTGATGGCTGTGCCTGCCTTAAAGCCCAGGAGTTTATTGCACAAGGGAGGCCTATGTTTTCAGTGGCATCAGCAAAATGGGCATTTACTCTGACATCTTGGAAATTTGCACCTAGATGAGAGGACGTCATCACCAGGGATCTTGGTTTTCTCTGTTTAAAAGTTGCAAATTCTCTGACAAAAATCACAAATTCTCTAATTAAAAAAACCAAACTCTGTGATTAAAATGAAATGCCACTGTATATGGGTATCAATTAAACACAATGTTTTATTGATATATTTACAGTTTTAAGCAATTTGGAAGCCTACCAGTGCCTCAATCACTATAATAAAATAAAATCTAAGTATGTATAAATTCTTGTATTTGATTTTGGGTTCTTTATCATGGAAAATCAGAACTTCTCCTGCCCTCTTCCCTCCCCAGGATGCAGGTCTAGGCCCCTCACTCCCAAGCCACAACCCCTGGCCCTGCTAGTTCCCCTCATTCCCTCCCAGCAGACAGTCAGTGACCGGGGGGGTGTCCCCCCATGGCCAATCCCGCTGACCTGCAAGTGGCAGCAGCACACTGCAGATGCTTCCAGATGAGTGCAATCAGCCATGGGGGGGACCACTTTTCCTGGTGCCCCCACTCCCTGGCTGTCAGGAGGTGTACATGCACCCCATATGCATTGCCACTGGAGCTTTCTCACTCAACCCTGCCTGGCCCTCCTCTGCGCTGCCACGCCAGGTCCCACCTCCTACACTGTAGAGGCCCCAGGGAGAGGGCAGCAGGGCAGGAGGCCTGAGCCTGCAGGGAGCAGTCCACACCTGCCCCTGCCCTGTGCACAAATCTGGAGGGCACAACTCCATCCTGCTCCCCGCCCTATGGCTGTGCATTTGGGCCCCAGGCACCAAGACCTACACGCCACCTGGCTGGGCAGCAGGAGCAGCCCCAGCCCTGCCTAATTCTGTCCAACTCCTTCCCTCCTTCACTTCCTCCCTCCCTAAGGAGGCCTCAGTCCCCCCTTCCCTCCCTCCAGACTTACCTGTGGGAGGTACTCTCCAGGCTGCCTGGTGGCCGTGTGCATGTGTGAGTGCACCCAAGACACCCACTGCCTGACCGCCCTTCTCCCTCTCCCCACAGCCCCTTGAAGGCTGGAACTCTTTGCAAAAGTGGAATATTCTCATGTTTCTCTGTTAAAATGAAAAAATATGTATTTTTCTCAGTCAAAAAGGGAAATTGCATTTTTTCCCCCATTTTTCTGTGGGAAATGGAAAACCCAGATCCCTTATCATCACCTACTAATTTCTGTGGCATCATGGGTGTGCTGGGCACTTTACATTTAAGTAGAAGTTCTTGACTGTGATGGCAAGTAGGTAGTTAGTACCATACTGCTCTCTGGTCCTCATATTTGGCTTTTTTCCCTATAACTTTAACTACAGCCATGGAGATGCAATGAGCAATTTACAGTCCTCCAGCATCCCTGGATACCCTGCTCCCACACCCAGAGTAGACATCATGCCCAGGTATCCTGACTCCTGGCCACACCCCTGCTCACCTGCCTTTTAGTGGCAAGTCAGAGCTATGCAGGCAATAAATGGTTTTAACCATTTTAACCTAAACATGTGATGTTCTAACTTTACACTGCTTAATATTCCACAGATTTAGTATGGCCTAAGCGTAATGTGTAATTTCACCCTAATTAGTTGAAAGGTAAGTACCAAATAATGGAGGAAGGGACTTGTTGAGCCCATTGTCAAGAGAAACAAATTCTAGTACTATGTCCTTTTTATTTAAACGCAAGTTAGCCAGTCTGAGTAAATGCTAATGATCTCCTAAATCTTTGATTTTGTGTCTTATACCTTGTAGCCCAGGATTTAATGGCTGGCAAAGGAGTGGGCATTAGCCAAGAACTAATCTCCCTAGAAATCAGCTCTCCATATGTTCCAGATCTGACCCTAATTGACCTCCCAGGGATTGCAAGAGTTCCAGGCTGGGAAGCTGATAAGTTATAGCAGTACACTTTAATATGACTTGATCCCTAAGTATGAAGTTTTGCCAAAGGCACATAACCAAAACATATTTACTCTCCCAAAAATAGTTAAGTTATAAAAAAA